TTAGGGCACTCCTTCACCATTATTCTATATCATTCCCATATCTCGTGCAAAGGTTCCGTTGGCATTTGCTTGAAAGCTAGAATCTCATCCCGAAGAGCCGCCATATGACTTGGAGAAAAGAACTTGGAAATAAATTTGTCCGCCAATTCATCCCATGTGGTGATAGAATGATTGGGGAGCCTTTCTAACCAATCCAACGCTTTACCCCAAAGAGAGAATGGGAAAAGCCTCAATATCAATGCATCCCCGGACACGTTTGTCTGCTTGCTACCCCAGCATGTATCCACGAACCCCTTCAAGTGCTTGTAGGGATTTTGATCGGAGGCGCCCGTAAAATACCCTCTTTGCTCGAGAAAGGTCAACATAACATTTGTGATTTGAAATTTCCTCGCCCGGATTCGGGGAGGAACAATGGCACTCGCATACCCTTGATTAGGGAGAACTCTTGGGACTACTCTTGGCGGTGGCGGAGGAGGGTCTGGAATAGGATTGTTGTCATTGGCCTGACGGCCTCTACACAAGCTTGAGGTAAGGGAAGCTCATCATGATCAATATCTTCTACCTCCTCCCCCGCCATGGCATTGCCAAGAGGGTCCTTAGCATTTAAAGAATAGTACCTGAGTGATCGACACAAACAAAATTAGTAAACAAGAAGGGAAGAGAAGCAAAACACAAAACTAACTAAACAGATAGTCAACACCGTAAGCTCCCCGACAACAGCGCCAAAAAGTGATCGCTGCCAACTCGACGCTACACCAAGGTAAGAAGAGAGGGTCGCAATAGCTTTTACCCGAATAGAGGTCGGGATCGATTTTCTCATGGAGCTAGTAGTGGAGTTGGATTTTCTGTCTAGTCTAGAGATGTATTTGTACTCCTAATGTCACTTCAAACATTCTTGCTTTTTGATTTTATAACTACTATGATAAAACTAATGACTAACGCTAAATTATGCTACTAGAATATTGCTAAGTTGTATCTAATGGGAAGAAAGGCACTAGGGTCGTGACACTGCCTAGGTGGCTAATTGACAGGTAGATGTTACTAAGGATAGATTGACATATTTGGGGCTTATGCTATAACCGTTGCACAATTGTACCCAATCTCACACCTCTCGGTAGAGAGAGTGATTTTTTCCAATTGACTCTCTCGAGACCAATTGGGTAGGCCAATTAGATCAAGCAACTAGGGTTCAAATAGGGTGATTACTCTCTCGAGATTTAACCCGTTAATTGGGACTATCATTTCTCATGAGTCCATCCCAATTCCTTGTTAGGTCAATTTTGGGGTCATAAACTCTCTTTCTCAAGAAGAGTCAAACCCACAAAGCTTGAATCAGTGTTTGCAACCACCAATTCTTAAATAAAAACATAAAATCAACTCAAATAACAAACACCCATAATCAATCTAACCCTAGATGATAACACCCATCAATTACCCACACTAGGGTTGAGCCACAACCCTAGCTAATGGGTTTAGCTACTCATGCTTGAAAGAGAAAATGAAGAAATAGATGAAGGACTAAGCATATTAATTAATTACTAAAAAGAAATCACAAGAATCTTTCGTAAAATTAAAGCTAAAGTGCCAAAAATGGCTACAAAACCGAGTCTCACGAGCACAGCTGTTACTTGAATACAAAAACTTGCCTAAAAATGGTAAAATATTTTATTTATAATAGGCTGGTAAAACTGGACAAAAATACCCCTGCGGGGTCAGTGCGGGCCGCACAAAAAAGGACCGCGGCCGCGGAGGGAGTTGGCGCGGTCCGCTCAAGTATGACCGCGGACCGCATTGCTTGGAATTGGCCATTAGTCAACCTCTCTGAACCTCATGTCCGCGGACCGCACGAAAGAGTAGTGCGGCCGTGGAGTCTAACCGCGGACCGCGAGAAACGTACCGCGGCCGCGTAGCCTTCAGCCTGATTATCCCAACTCGCTGAATCTCCTAGTGCGGCCGCAGTCACTTTTGCGCGATCCGCACTAGGCCCTCGTTTCCTCAATTCACTTAGTCTTTGATACTTGAGCAGGTTTCACTACTTTTGAGTCGATCTTTGACATTTCGTCACTTTGTCGATCAAACCTGCAATCAAGCACAACTTGTGAGCATTTTGGGACTATTTTGTAGCAATTTATAATCAAAGCATAGGCAAGTAGGGGCATAAAACACGTTAAAATCCTAACTTGTCAGGTTGTAGGAAAACAGAGGCATCCAAACTTTTGAGGTGAGACTATTTGGGTTTTCTTTTGTAGAGTAGTTCCAATGGGCATTTGTTTTTTAGAGTATTAAAAGGAAGCCTGTTAATCAAGTAAGTTGAGGTGAGGATACATTCTCCCCGATATTGCATGGGGAGCTTAGACTAATACAACAGTGCCCTGGCTGTTGATAGTAAATGATAATTATGAAATTTTGATACTATTTACACTCTAATTTGGCCGCACTTTATCAATGTTTGAATGTAAAAGATAACAAAATGCTCTAATTAAGGGTTTTACATTTTGCAGGATCCACTACGAGTTAGGAGGAAGCTAAAGAATTTTTTGGAGTCAATATGGAGTGTGGAAGGCCAATCGGAGGATAGCTCGGTTAAAAAGGAGAAAGAAGAGCAAGTTCCAGCTCCGCGGCCGCGGACAGAACAATTGTCAAATCTGCGGCTGTGGACGGGAAGACGGGAGCCAAGAAGCCAAGGTCAATTATGTAATTTTCAAGGCGACTAACCTAAACCTATATGAAGCCTAATTCGTCCTAGAGTGAAGGATAGCTTTTTTTAGAGAGATTTGGAAGGCAAGAACACGGGAGAAAGACAGAGAATTTTCCTTAGAGTTTTATTCTTCTTCTTTTTAATTCTATTGATGATTATGACTTTATTTAGTGAATTTTCATCTCTTAGTATGAGTAGCTAAACCCGTCATCTAGGGTTGATGGAACCAATTGTTGGATGAAGTCTTGACATGTTTTGATATAACTGAGTCATTTTTACTATGTGATTGTTCAACTACGTGTTGTCTTGTGATTAATTGAAAGGCCCATTGATTAATCGTGTCTAGTTATCTTGTGTTGCTTGAGAAAGAACACTTTGTTAGATTGTTGTTGAACAACACCACTTTCGAGTAAGTTAAGAGATTAATTACTTGAATTTAAAAGCAGGGTTAGAGATAACGAAGCTTTGGTGGGATAATTTTGAGTTGCATAAATTGTTAGCTAGGGTAGTTCGAGAAAATGCTTCTAGTAAATTATCGTAATTGATCGAGAGATAATTGCGGTAACCTAGAACTCATATTTCTTATAGAGTGTTACAGCGAGACTATAGCTAACGTTTCAGGAATTAATCCGACAATTGGGGAAATCAATAACCCTAGACCATTTTACCATTGAATTCAACTCTATTCTAGATTATTGCTAGTTTTATTGTTATTTTTCCTTAGTTAACTAAATTCTACTCATTATACATAAAAAATCTTGCATCCAAAAATTGTTTGAGCTTATCATTAGCAGTGGTAAATGTTGTAGTAAATAGGTTAGTTCCCTGTGGGATTTGACTCCGGACTGAATCGGATTATATTTTTGCAATGACCACTTAGTCCTTTTTATAAGGCATAGTTGGGCGTGATCAGCTGTCTCTAGAAGATACTTGTGTTTTCTTTCGACTATGCCATTTTGCTGAGGTGTATAGGTATATGTTTTCTGATGTATTATCCCCTCAGACTGCAGGAAGGAAGCAGTTTCAGAATTTATGAATTCAAACCATTATTGGTTCTAATAGTCTTAATGGAACAGTTGAATTGGCTCTTTACCATGGCAAAGAAAGCCTTGACTGCCTGCAGGGCATTGCTTTTGTAGCTAAGAAGGTGTGTCCAAGTGCACATGTTGTAGTCATCTACTAGAGTGATGAAGTACTTTTTCCTATCATGAGTTGGCATATAATAGGGACCCCACAAATCAGCGTGTAAGATTTCAAAGATTTTGGTTGTGACTGTAGTTCTTTCTGAGAATGGCAATCTATTTTGTCTAGCCATTGGGCATATTGACAAAGGGTACATGTCCCAATCTATTGTGCCACAAGAGATCAATCATGTTTTTATCAGTCATAGATGCATTGCATGTAGAACTAATATTTCCTTTATATTACACATGAGAATTTGTGACATCTTTATTACATTCATGAGGAGAAGTGTGTGATCTAGGTAAAGTAGGAGGAACAAAGTTATGTAAACTAGGTGCAATGTGTGAAGCAGAGTGTGGACTAACACTACTGCTACTAGTTAGACTAGATGAAATAGACAGAGTGATTACATCACCTTTATTTTATGCACTAGATGAATTCTCAAGGACTAGGGAATTAGATTTGTAGAAGTCTGAAGTGTTGGACTTGCAAGAATCTGATGTGTAAAGATACAGACCATCCTTACTTTCACCAATTGCCAGAGGCCTCTTCAGTGAAGGGGCCTGCAGAAGGATACAAGCGAATTTGGTAAATATGACAAGTAATCAAGTTGAACTGTTAAGCAACGTACTGAGATTAGGTTTAATTTGAAGCTAGGGACAAAGAGAACTCTTTTCAGAGTGAACCTAGGACTCATCACTACATCTCCCATCAATGTCACATTCACATTATAACCATTAGGCAAAGTAACTCGGAAAGGATACACTAAGGTTTTCACATTGGTTAATATGGATTTATTATAGGTCATGTGGTTTGATGATCCGAAATCAAGTATCCAAGAGTCAGCAACAGACTTAGAACATTCGTATGAGCCACAACCAGAATCAAAATGAGTTAAACAAGCTAAGATACCTGCAAAGTTCACAGCTCCTGCTTTCAGTTCATTTCCTCCATTTCTAGCATGAAAGTACTGTAGGATGCTCAGTAACTGATTATATTGCTCCTTGGTAAGGTTCTGCATAGTTTTGTCATGTCCTGTACCTGCACATTGTTTCCATCTTCACCTTCAATGCCACTCTCTACTTGACCTCCATGTACATTGGCAGCAATTCTCTTTCCTTTATTGAACCTTTAATCTTGTGGATAACCATGCAACTTGTAGCATCTCCTTAATGTGACCTGGCTTCTTACAATAGTCACAAAAAGGTCGTGGCCTACTCCCAGGATATCCTCCCTTGTAGTTGTTGTTTCCAGTTTTATTTCCCTGCTGATTGAAATTCGTATAGCTAGTGTCTGTAGTGTTTGTCTGTTGACCAAAGTTTGTTCTGAAAGAATTTCCTCTTGATCTATTAACACTCAGGGCAGTAGATTCAATCATCAATTGATTGTTTGGCTTGACTTCTCTTTGTTTCTCTTCTTGGATGAGGATTAAAAAAGTCTGTGCGAGTGAGGGTAATGGATTCATCATTAAAATGCTTCCCCTAACTATAGTGTAAACCTCCTTTAGCTTCATTAAAAACTGAATCAGCCTTCTGTCCCGTTCAGCCTTCTGCATATTTGCCTTAGCACCACATGTGCAATTGCACTTGCACTGAGCATGTGCATTCAACGTGTTTAGCTCTTCCCAAAGCTTCTTCATTTTAGTATAGTACCTAGTGATATCTAGGGTTCCTTGACTCAAATCATTTATCTCTTTTTGCAATTGATACAACTTCGCTCCATTTGTCTGGTCATACCTATCTTCAAGTTCTTTCCAAAGTTCCTGAGCATCATTAACATACTGTAAACTGTCCGCTAAATCTTTTGAGATAGAATTTAGGATCCATGATGTGACCATATCGTCGCAACGTTCCCGTTGATCATAGTTAGGGTCCTGAGAATCTGGATTTTTGCACTTCCCGTTTATGAATCCCACATTATTCTTCACTGAGAGAGCTCTCAAAACTCCTCTTCTCCATGATCTATATCCTGATCCGTCGAAAGGCACCGGCATAAGCATAGAACCAGCGCTTTCAGATGGATGCATGTAGAGTGGATTTGTCGAATCTAAGGCCGGATTTGTGAAATCCGTCGTGTTTTCATCAACAACCATGATAATCAAGGATCAATTTGAAAATTGGAAAAATTTCACTATTTGTACAGAAAATTATTATAGAGATACACTCGAATGGAAAAGAAAATTGACTAATTGAGCTTAGGATCAGGAGCCCTGCTCTGATACCATGTCAAATAGTAGAGAGAATGAAGAAGATGAGCTCACCTCGAGTGAGCTCTAATGGCGGATGAGAAATGCCCTAGATGAGAGAACTTCTGGAAAGTTCCTTTTCATTAGAGAATGAGCTGAAAGCTCAAAGTCATAGAGGAAAATACAAAAAATAAATACAACTGTGTATAGAAAATATCTACACCTATTTATACTACATACACTACTCTACTAAGTACAACTAGCAGAATACTACACAACTAACTTGATAATACTAAATATACACACGTGTCTTGATAACTTTGAAGGCATCTACTACGATGTGTTTTAAAAATAGTGCATATTTGATTAGTTTTATCTTTTAATAACAGGATAATATGGATTAATTCGTGCGCATTTGATCATCTTAAAGTAGTATTGTAGAGTAATTTTGTGCATTAAAGCTTAGACGAAAGAAAATCACCAAAATAAATTTATTTTTATTGAAAATTGAACTAGTATGAATTTTAGTTTTCACATTTTGCGTACTCCGGTAACTGCGGCTTAATTCTATGTAATATGTGGATTTTGTTTTTATCAGAAGAGTTTGATTGAATTGTAAAATGTGTCGTTACACGATATTTAGCTAAAAAAGATTTATATCAGTATGCACACGCTCACACCTAGATTAAAACTAAATAGCTTCTTGTTTCTTGCTGATAGCAAATTAAAATTGCTGAAAAGTTAGATTTGACATATAAGGATTATGTAAATAATGAAGTTAATTAAACTTTTTAAAAAGATTGCCAAGTACTATAAGAGCTAATTAAAGTGCTCGAGTATCACTTAATTTTCTCTTACAGAGTCTTACTTCATGAGTAATATAGGAGTATCCACATTATTATTGCCCTTAAAAATATTATGGACAACAAAAGACTAATTAGTGCATTGTCGCTCGATAATTTCAATAATTACTTGTTGAATTTACATATATTTAACAGAAAGAGCGTCACTAAGATAATGAGGTCATAATGTAGGCTCAATTAGTGGGATAATAACTAATAAGTGAGACATCTCATATATACTAATTTAGACGAAGTCATGGCAGTTCATTATAAGCATCATTATTTATAATGGTAGAAAGCTTTTATACCGAAAATATAAGGAAAGTTGATATTTAAATCATAAATCTTTAGCATTTGGTGAAGTGCTTAATGATTATTAATATAAAAGCACGACTAACTGCGTAATCAGTTCCATAAAAGGAGCAGAAAAGTGAGCAATATGCATTATAATTTATAAAGTATATTGGATTATGTATGGTGGTTATAAGCACTTGAATGGTTTAGTTGGATTAAACCATAAGCAACAGTCAAGAAGGAGATAATAAACACGTTGTTCGTTTGTAGTTGAGTTTATTCTACTTGTTTCCCGAAGCAGATCAACAATGTCAGTACGGATACACATGAATTCAGTATTTTTTGTTCCAAAAACTTACTTAATATATATAATATTATATATATATATATATATATAATAATATATATATATATATATATATATAATATATTATAATATATATATTTCTTATTTTAGAAGAACTCGGGTTGCTGATAATCAAGTAGAAATAGGAATAATTGATGTAAATAATAGAAAACAAAGTAAATCAGTATATTCCAATAGTATTTCGTGTCCTTACAAGTGTTCATTCCTCACATTTTATAGCTATTTCTAAGTAATACATTTTTTAATGGAGTCTTTATGGACAATTAATGACATTTAGTGTAACGTTATAATTGGTAATCGTAACTGATTTAATACAGATTCTATAACGTTTTCTGTAATTAATGCATATTAATTTCCAATAATACGTATCTATACCCCTTTTGCTATTTAGGTTCATTCTTCTGATGCCTCTTCAGAATATCAAGAGGTTCGAGCGCCTATCCCTTTTGGCTTTCTTGGATTTTTGCCCGTGCCTGCTAAAGCTCGTGCCTCTTCATCTACTTTTCGCCAATTGACATTCCTTTACCAATCCACGTGTCATGACATGTCACCACATAATTATATATATATATATATATATATATATATATATATATATATATATATATATATATATATATATATATATATAAAAAGCATTTTAGTGATGGGTTCAATTGAAGTCGTAAATTTTTATGCTGAACATATATTTATGTGTAAAAAATTCATTAAAACTGCAACACATAGTGGGTTTGAACCCATAATATAATGAGTTAAATGTTAATAACCTTAAAGATTGAAACTCTCATAAAGTTTAATATCTATAAGTGTTTTACTATGAGCTTAGTTATTAAACAACAACAACTACCCAGTAAAATCCCACAAAGTAAGGTTTGGGAAAGGTAATGTGTACACAGACGTTACCCCTACCCCGATAGGGCAGAGAGGCTGTTTCCGATAGACCCTCGGCTCAGAAAGACGGAAATACAAAACAAGAAAAGATAATTCATTAGTACCTTCAGTAGAAACCGTAATAGTAACAAAAGCATAACAACCAAAAGATAAATGACATGCAATAACAGTAACCAGTATCTAAGGCCCAGACTCAGATTAGTAACATAAATTATGAGCTTAGTTATTATTAGTATAATAAACTTGAGTTTTTTAAGAATTCATAAACTTTAAATTTTGGATTCATCTCTATTTGTTTCACTTAAGTATGAGTATCTACGTGTTATTGAACCCTTGACACAAGTTATGTCTCCAAAACAACTAAGGAGATTCAAAAGTTCTGTTAGGTCTTGTATTGTACTTCAAATTAGTTTACAAAACTTGAACCAAAAGAAAAAATAACAGTTCATAAAAGTTATCGAAAGACTATTCATAACTACGTATCTTTGGGTAGAGATACAGTTGCTTAGTGATTCCCCACGTCAAGAACATACCGCTCCTGTTTTCCTTTCTAAGAATTTATTTAGAATTTGGGTTTAAATTATAAATACTGATAGAGTAAAAAAAAAATTACGCTAGATATCTTAGTCTTTTAGCCTGCAGTAGTTGCACCCAAAAATCTAGATGTAAGCTTATACAATCAAAATTATTATGAAATAGGGTTAATCTTAGCCAATAATATAATATTCAAATGATACGTCGAGTGTATTTTTAGAAAATGTCCCGCACGTACTGTTGACTAGCAATAAATGATAACAATAATGATATAATGAATAATTCAAGAATATTAGCAATAAAAAACAATAAAGAACATTTAAGTAAACTAATATCTATGAACGTGCGTTGCACGTTAATAATGACACATAATGGTTTAAATATTTATTTATATGAAAGAATAATAAAATTTAATTAATGAGAGTAATTTTATGTATAATAATACACAATCATCTAAATGCCGAAAAATATTATTACATTAGCATAATACATGAATTTAAAATAAAAGGACAGGATCAAAACTTACAAAAATTGTCAATTTTGTCGTGTTAGATAATTTTTTGTGAATAATATTTTTTTTGTGTATGTTACCTCCTAATGCTTTGGTTGATTTGCCTAAATCTGAATTCTTGATATCCCTCTTGAAAGTGTAACATACTGTTGTTCGTGCAAGAAAATATATTGCGGTAAATATAGTCTAATATTTAGGATGTTTGTCCTTGTATATTTATTATATTTGCAAAACATAAACATACCAAAAATTATTTTCATATAAATTTAAAAGGATATTCCTTAGTTTCGGAAGACGAAAGTTGAATTAGGGATAAAATTATACTTAGAAGCACAATGACCAATATCATAATTTTTGTATGTATGACGTTATTGTGAAAACTTCTATATACTATCTGTGTGCTATTACATAAGTTATTCGGTGTATCTAAGTTTTCGGTAGCATGACGGACATATTTTTCTTCAAAATCAACCTATATATAATAGAAGATCAATTTTAACTTAGTCTATAATATATGCGGTGACACTAACATACGTAAAAAAAATATTAACCTTGACAACAAAAATGTATGGTAGAAGGCCATTTGGTATTAAAGTATTTAAGTATATTCTTCTTGGTAGTAATTATTGGTATCATTTCTGCTGAGTCAAAAAATGAAAAATATTTTGTTTTTACTATAAAATTTTGCAATCCACCTTTACTTTAGTTGATCAACATATTCATTTCTGCTAGTTAAGATATCTTTTAATTCTATCATGCGATTTGCACAATTTGCGTTTTAATCTAATGATAGAAATATTTCTCTTATTAAATCCACTACTATTACCATTGGAGTTGATAACCAAGTGTTCAGGAAGAACCAAATCATCTTTTATTGGATGCTCTTCTTCATTTTCGACACGAAGCAAGAAGACACTAAATCTTGGTATGTTCTTACTTTATATTTCTTGTGAGTTGAATCTTTTTCATTTAAGGCCAAAAGTATAACTTTGGCAAGTTAGTTATGTTTTTGTCGATTTTGGAACTGCCTGTAGTACTTGACAAAAATCACCTCCCAAACCATTAATTTTCCACCAAACGGTTCATTAATATCCAATATATCTCTAGAACTCCGGGCAATTATTTCGATCGTTTGACACTTAGCAATAAGTTCTTCATCCCATATTATCAACTTTGCTTTTCTTATAAATTTGTGATGGTTATTTAAATTGTTTGAAGATGTATATCAAATCTAAAGTGGGTGGCCTCATAATAAAATCATTATTGGTACATCACTTGCTATTATTGTTAATAGTGTCATGTCTCTTGATATGATATTTGCAAGTAATGCGTGACATAAAAATATTATTTCAATTCCACCGGAGGCATCTACAAAGAATAATCCTGTTATACCAGAGTCGAATCTTTGTAATATAGTCTTGAAAACTTGTTCTTGTTTAAGATTTAGCTTTGATTGTGTTTCCTCAGA